GGCAAGGTTCCAGGGGTTTGAGGCGGCCAATATGGCAGAACCATTGGCAAGGTTCGAGGGGTTTGAAGGGTTTGAGGGGTTTGAGGGGTTTAAGGGGTTTGAGGGGTTTGAAAGGTTGCACTTTCCAGGCCAAACGCTCCCTCTGAATCCCTAGAAAAAAATTTCTTTCATCATTTCTTGTGCAAATTCTGCTCCCTCTGAATCCCTAGAAAAATACCTTTTTACCTTTTCTTTCATTTCTGGTGCAAATTCTGGCTCCGAACACCTGCTATTAGGAACACGTGCAATGCCACACGCTCCCTAGAAAAAAAATTTTTCTTTCATTTCTTGTGCAAAGTCTGGCTCCGAACACCTGACCCCGCCACGGCTTTTCCCAATCTAAGTCTGGTCCAAAACGAGCCAGTTTGTTTCCATTTGTCTCGCTCATCTTGGCCCCGAAGACCTGACCTCGCCACTCTCATACCTGCAACATGTGTCTGACCCCTAAGTGACGGTACTCCCTTGCGCGCTCCCCCTTCTTCGACCGGGGTCGGCGGATTACAATAATATGATATAATATAATATAATATGTACAGGAAACCATGGGACAAAATAGATATAGGAACAATTACAAATAGGGACTGCCATGGACTACCCTTTTACAGCTTTCAAAGCATTCATCGTTAGGTGGAACTCTTTGGTGGGTCATCCATGAGGCACTGGGTTTGGCGGAACCGTGGGACGCGTGGGAAGCGTGGAGACAGAAATCACCCGTGCGAGCGTGGCGGGTAATGGTATGAATGACGTGACGAGTTGGATGGTCAAAGGAAGTCAAAGAAGTTCCAATCCATGGAATTGGTGGACATTGTATCGACATCCCCGGTAGTCGATGGGATTGTTCATTTCGGGACTCCCCCCCAATCGCAGAATGCCCTGACCGTGACGCAGCAGCTGGAGCAGCTGGGAGAGTTGGGAGCACAGTTGGCTTTTAAGTATATTGATTCTTGGCTGAATATAGAGTTCAGATACCCCGAGGTAAATGATATCAAGCTGACCCTTCTATTTTCTTCCCGTGGGACACCGGTTGGGGTCGTGCGGTGAGAGGTGAGTGTGGGCCATGCTGGTGAGCCATCAGGCATGGGCCAGACTGCTGGATGGCCACCTGGATCTTTGCTATGCTGAAGGTCTGACCTGCTGAAGGAAGGTCTTCACAATGGCCTAAGTGGTACTGGTCCGACTTCAATGCTACATGTTTAGAGGTTCGTGTCTGATCGAGACCCAACACTCCTCTCAACTCACATTCTAAGCTGGCCAAAAGGAACGGCCAGCTCTGCTCGAGTTGCAGCTCAGCTCGAGTTGCTTTCCTTTCAAGTAGAACTCATTGAAACATGTCAGAACTGCAATCAGACCCTATCGCAGACATCTGATGGCACCCTTACTCGCAGAGTCTTCTCCACTTGGAGCCAGGATGGACTTGGCTTTTCTGTTCATGGGTATCCTCAGGTCGATGTGGTGCCAGGGTGTCTCAGAGGGTCTCAGAGGGATTTCAAGGTCTCGGACCGTCACGTGGGGGGCTGAGGTCGGTCCTGAGTGCGCATCGTTTGGGGCTCATGAGCGGAAGGTTTGGGCAGTAGGTAGGCATCGATAGGCCATGGTTTTGCGCTGGACGTTCCACGCTGGCCATATTTCCATGGGAGGGTCCGTGGCTCCGCTTTGAGCGTGTGAGGCCGAGTTGCTGCGATCACACCCTGGGCCATGCCACGTATGAGGTGCCGCCATGCCATGCTATTCTTGCTAGCTTGACAGTTGGAAGGTAGTTGACAACTTGTGTTCTTGTTGTGCGAAAGTTTTTCACGGTCGTGAATAGGGGTATCTCACTTTGAAATGGCTCACATGGTCATTGGCAGCCGAGACTGGTCCAGGTCAACTTCTTTCCTTACTCAGTGAGTGCCAGACTCAGTTGGAGGTATTGCAAGTGATGGTTCTTTTGAGCATCAACAAGGACATGCAAACCTCGTGAACCGCGCCGATTCCGACACTCAAACTTTGCCAGTCCGAGACTTCTGGGTCACATCATCCTTGTATTTGTCTTACTTTTCATTATTCCGATAGGCACCCACATCCAAAGAGCCTCATTGACGATGATTGATGTGATTTAGACTCATGACTCATGTCACGTGCACTGCGGTATCCTCCCGTCGGCATGTCACGTGCGGTTCAAGAGATCCAAGAGGGATCGTTGGAGAGTCATTGCACAGTCACCTCCTTGCACAGCCATGGCCATGTCATACTCTCGTGCTCTTCAGGTGGCTCAGCAACTGAAAAAGCGGTCACACACTCCAACATACTCCAACCACATCCAGTTGATTTGTTTCGGAAGTACTCCGAGCTGAAAGCATTTTGAGATGTAGAGCACATCCCTGAATGAAGAAACATGAAGCTTTCGTCATATCATGTGCTTGCTGCCTTGCCGAGTTCTTTTGGATTTTAATATAGGAAGAACCTTGACAGTCTTCTTCCAGGCAACTAGCCTTGTCCCATCTTGTCACGGCCTTCTTGTGGGCACAAAAGACAGACCTAGCTTATTGGCACGGCCTTAGCTTATCGGCACCTGGGCATGCGGGAATTTCGGGGATGCGTGCCGTTATCCCATGGAGGGAGGAGTGGATGTTTTTGGCTCCACCCTCCATCGGTTATGCACCGTCATTGAAATCGTCCCAAGATCCACGTATTTTTTGTTGAAGCGTTGACAACATGACAAAAGCTTCAATCAGGCAGAATTGAGGGAGTCTTTGAAATGATCCGAACATTCCATGTTCACGCATGGGTCGAAGCCCCATGCTAAAGCCACTGGCTGCAGCTGTAGGGACTCACAACTCACAACAGTACATAGCTTGGCTTCATGGATGTTTAAGAGTTTAAGGTTTTGGGATTCTATCAGGCCTAAAGGCGAAGCTTAAATCCCTGAGGCGATTCTTCCGCATGACACATTTAATGCTTTGGAGGTCGATCGCCTGGTGGATCTCGAGGAGGTGGTGGGCGAAGTCGGGAGCTCCTCCGACTCCGATTCGGGAGAGGAGCGGATCTCCTGGCGGCTCCGGAGGCGGCGGGATCTGGGGAGGCTGGGGCAATCAGGAGCATCGCGGTTTTGACCCCACCACGGGGCCAGCAGAAGGACTTTGTTTGATCAGTTCGGAATGATCCACCTGGTCACGTTTTTGGGGTGATTTTTTAGTTATTGACCTTATTGACATATTTCAAGTTGTTTCACTCTCAGCGGGGGGGTCTGGCCAGTTTCGGGGTGGTCCATTTGAGGCTCATTTGGAGAGTCATCAATCACCATGAGAGACTGGATGTTTTGACGCCCTTGTCGTCTCAACTCTTACTTAGAGCGAATTATAGCCATGAGCCATTAACTAGGGTGACCATAGTCATGCATTGCTTGGAATAGAATGGAATAGATTGAATATGATTTAATCGATGGTGCTGCCAATGATCCAGAGTCGTATCAACGTCATAGATGGCGGTTGGTGCCTGTTTGCCATGACGACTGTACATTAAGACCCAAGGCATGTTTCTTGCAGCAATACTGGTGGCAAGCTCACCAACCCTCTCACCCTGCAGGGGCCTTGGAGCTTTTGGGGACCTATGACCTATACAAATCTCTATAAAAACCTATAAAACCTTTTGAGACTTGGTGACTGACTCTAAACTCCAACTTCAAAGCTCGATGGCCAGCCTCATCTTGGGCGGCTTTGTGATGGTCGCAGCCCTCGCCTTCTCCAGCCGCAGCTGGAATTTTGGGGCTGCCAGCAGCGATGCCTGGATGGATTTTGGACGGTTTGTCATTAGGAGAGGATTTTGTGGATGACCGTGCAGTTCTTTTATGAGAGCAACTTTTGGATCCAAGCCCTGGCAGGAGGAAAGAGAGCAAGAAGACCCACACAAAAACTGCCAAAGAAACCAACGTTTGATTGGAGCAGGATGGTTTTGCAGGTCGGGAAGTGGTTTTGCACCTTCCAGCATTTTGTACCGGATTGGCTGTAAGTGTGTGATAGGGCAGTCCAGGAGGGTGCGTTTGCTAACACTGCCGAGGATCTCTCAGCAATGCAAGTGAAGACTGGTCTTTATCCTGATGAGTGGAAGACCGTGACAGAGGAGAGAGGGTGCGCATACAGGTGTACAGATGATTTTAACAGCCATGGTCTCCACCTCAAATTGAAACAAACCAGTCAGAATCCAGTTCTTCAAAGTGACCCTTTGAGGACCCCTCAGTGACCCTTTCGAGACTTTAAGTGACTTCAAATGGGGATCTCAAGAAGTCACTTTACAGAACCAGGATGTCGTAGCTCTGAATGTTTGATGTTCCCCCCAGCTCCCTGCCTTGGAAGGTTAGATCGCCATCTCCATGATTTATTTTTCTCGGAGGCAACGAACCGGTGTGTCCCTGCAACAGGCGCCATCAACAGGTTCCAGCAATGGGATCATTCCAGAGAAGCTACTTGGAGCAAAAGAATCACAAGTTATCCCTAAACGTCCAAAGCTGCAGCTCATACATGCAGCTCATTTTTGCTGGCTGCCATAAGTAGGTATCTCTTTTTGGCCACAGGAGGTTGCCCTCTTTGGTGCATGTTTTGGAACACAATTTGAAGACCCCTGCACAATGACTGAGCAAACGCATCCAGTGTTCCAAGAATTAAATATATTAATATATATATATATGTGTATAATATATTATATATTATGTTAATACATTTTTTTTTACCTCCACTGTAGCTGGACGAAAAAAAGGGACCATTTGTTGCCGAGCAATGGAGCCATCCAGCCATGTCGCCTCGTTCTGTAGCGTCCGCCCATGGTTTTGTGGAGAACGAAGCCTCTTCCCCCGCCTGTTGCAGATTTCTCATCGATCCGAGGATTGGCTCCGTCAACGACTTGACCGGCGGCAAGGACGCGTCGCCGCGCCTCACCGAACCTCGGGGGTGGCCGGGAGGTCGACCTGGACGACCGATGTTCCGTAGGCGACCAAATTGGTTTAAGTCTACTGAAGGACAGGGAAAGGCCCTTTCTGAAAGATCAGTAGAGGAGATTTCCTAACTTGGCACAACGCCGAAGGACATGGTCTATCGAGGGGGGACCTTGCAGCAGCGCACTGTTTCATTGTTCCGCCATTCCTGGAATTTCTTAGTCCTTCTGGTGACCGTTCTTCTTCCAGTCAGACAAGATGCCATTCCTCCAACGAACTCCTCGCCACCTCGCGGCGGAGAAACCTTGCTCGGGTCTCACCAGAGTCCGCCGTTCGGTTCTTTCCGGCCTCGTCCGGAAGGGCGTGAAGATCTTCTCCACCGATCCCTTGGCTCGGCCGGAGAACTTGATGGATGGCAACCGATGCGCCAACGATGAGGATGCGCAGAGCTCGAGCGTACGCGTCGGACGCGGACGCACGGGCCGGAGACTGCTGGAAACGGGCCGGACTGCTAAGGTCTCTAATCACTAGTCATCGGGCTTCAAGGTCACAGAAAGGCAGAGGTGGACAACAGATTGGACCTGCCAGATTTGCAGGAACTTTTGGGCGACCTCTGCTACAAGAAGTGCTCCTTGCTGACGAATGGCGAGGCTTGGTCTCCAACCAAGCGCCCCGGATGTCGCGTTCCGCATGAACACCGGCGCACGCGATTCCCGCGCGATATGGTTCCCATGGTGGAATCGGTGTGAGGCCCCGGTGCGTTTGAGCGCCTTCTCCTGTGGGAAGTCCAGAGGCTTTCAGGACTTCTTCAAGAGCAAGGTCGGGAGTGATGGAGTGGAAAACCGAAGACTCAGACGCGAACGAACGGGTGGGGCACTTCTGCAGAGGTGGGGGCCAGTGATGGTGGATCAAGCAGGGAATGGGCTTGCGACAATCCAGCATGTTGGCTTTAAGATGCTTTAAGTTTGACAGTCCTTGGAATCAGATGCAAAGGGTGTTGATTCCATTGCAGGATGAAACATAGGTATTCCATGGTATTCCGGCATTCCTTTCATTCATGTCATGTTGAGATTGTTATCTTTGTGCTGACTGGCTTCCCTTTTGGCTAACGAAATGAAAGTGTCTAGCAGGGAGATTTGGATCTGATTGCTTGGGCCATCATGTGTGGTGTGTCTGGGCAGGTTGGTCTCCTAGTCCCTTGCGAGGGCGACTTGGCTTGCAGACTCAAGGGGCTGAGACCTCAAAGCTGCTGACTCAAGGGGCTGAGACCTCCGATCCACATACCCTTGCGAAGGCATTGGGTTTTGGAGGGTCTCTGCCCACTTTCTCAGAAGATACGTGGATCCCCAAACAGGGCAGCCTAGTGGGCAGCCTGTATATTAGATACATAATTATACTGTTACCAGTAGCGAACTGTAACATTACTCCCAGTAGTAAGGCCAGGAGCTATTAGTAGCGTCCTTGCTCCTAGTAGCGATGCCCCTTGCTCCTAGTAGCGTCCTTGCTCCTACCCCGCCCACGCGCGCGCGCGAAAAGGTACTTAGTAGCTTCTTGTTTCAATTCTAATTAAATTCTATTTGTTTTTTGTTTCTGATAGCTTCTTGTTCCTACTAGTAAGGCCAGGAGCCCCTAGTAGCGTCCTTGCTCCTAGTAGCGATGTATCCCTTTTAACGTCCGATCTGCGATGGATCCGATGGACTCCGGTGGATGACCAGCCAGGCTACGACGTCTCGGGCGATGACGCCGGCCACGGATGCCCACATAAGGTGGGCACCTGCCTGGTGAACGAAGAGTTCTCCCTTGGCAAATGCGACTTGGAGAATTCTCTTTATGATTGGATACATGTTGAATTGTGTTGAACAGTGGCAATGTGCGGCATAATTATTGGTCTCCGGAGATTCATCAATCCGGACAAAAGAAAGATAACAATTCCATTCACTTGAGCAACGAATTCACAGAGGCTCAAGCATACATGAATTACAGACTTGCAGACCCGTCTCAATTCATTCTCCAAGTTTGGAGACCCACAGGAGGGTATTTGGACACACCTCTTGCCGTCCTGGTTGTCGTGGGATATTTCCACACCAGATCGTGTGGTCACCCAGCCCATCAAATGTTCAGAACCTGGGAAGTAAGATACTCCCTACTCATCAGAACCTTCCCTTTCCTCCCCACGCAGCGAATCTCTCATTTTCGGTGAATCTGCAAGTTTTCCAGTTGATGTGAGGGGATGCTCGTGAATGGACCACGCAAGCTGAACAGCGCATTCCTTTCTTTCTCATGGCCAGGTCAAAATGTTTGTGGGTCGTTGTTAGATCTTCTCAAAAGGATTCTTTTGTTTTTGATGTTGGTTCTAGCACAACAGTTCTGTGGCCTTGATTCCAATGTTGGGTAAACAACTGGGCGCCTTGAAGTGTAACGGGGTGTTTCGAACCCAGCCTCCCTTCAGCCAAGTAGCCCTGAGCTGAGGCTACAAGCGATGTGATCAGTTGACAGATGGTCAATTTCCATATCGAACCAGTGAGGGCCTAAGATCTCGTCACTAGGAGTGGGCGGGCCACTCCGGGGCGAGGAGCTGAAAAGAAGACCAAGTCATGTGGCATAAGACAAGGCTGTGCTCTTTGCAGCACTGAAACACCGGGTTGTCAGGGTTGAAGCGAATTGCCCACCGCCGGGTAATTACTGTACATTCCAGCCAAATCCTTCCAGCGGATCGTTGAGTGCCTCTTCTGCCACCTACTCCGAGCATCTCCGAGCCACAAGGTGTGACTCGCACCTGGTGTAGATTCTAGATCCATCCCAACCACCCCATGGCTTTGCTTTCAGGCGCTGATACATGCTGCAAGTCCAAGGATTTGATCGTGCCTTGATCGAAAGCCAACCAGTGGGACCAGACAGCTGCGGTTGGTGGTTCACCCACTTTTCCGAACATGTTCTACTGCACCAGGAATATCTTATTGCATGCCCAAGCAGCAAGAGCAAGACAGGGAAATGACTGAAATGACTAACTAGCAATCATGAGTTTCATGGAAGGTTACTTCTTCTTTTGGAGAGTTTTTTTACAACTTTCTGTGTAGATGGATGTCGTACACCCGTGAGTTCACAACAATCACCGGCTATGTTATGGTTCACTTACTGGCGGCATAACATAACAATACTATTTGACCAATTTGACTTATATAGTTCGTTGTTGGCTTTTGAATTCAACCGGGCGCACGTGCTAGACTCTTAGACAAAACCACGTTCGGACCCTGCAAAGGCAAAGGACGCTGCAAAGGGGTTGTAGATTGGACACTGCAAAGGCTGGCCAAGCAAATCAATTCATCATATTCTTATCTTAATGATGCCGCCGTCCGCAGTGAGGAAGGAATGTTGTCCGGCTCATACTTGTTCTGGTCTGACGAAGAAATCCTGCCCCACCCCAACCACTGGAACCCTCGTGCTTGTGGAGGAAATCATTTCCATCCTTCCCCCAGCCAAGATTTCCCTGCAAGTTGACGCCATAAACCAAAGCCATTTGAATGAGCCCCTTGTCCCGTGAGGAATGCATTGAGCCATATCGAAGCAAGTTCAGCACCGCCTTCAACGTGGGTGGCGGGCAGGGTAGTTTCGCCAAGAGCCATTCGCCAGATGCAAAGTGGCCCGACTGCAGGCCATGCAGGCCATGGAAGTAACAAGAAGCTACTAGTAACAAAGGGCATCGCTACTAACGGAGCAAGGACGCTACTAGGGGCTCCTGGCCTTACGCACTACTAGTAACAAGGACGCTACTAGGAGCAAAGGTAAGGGATGTGAGTTGCCTCAGTGTGGACCTTCGGGGCAAAGGGCCTTCGGGCCTGGGTGGACATGTAACACTGGAACAAACTCAAACCATGCGCCTTGGGTGTACCGTCCACAATATTTATAATATTCTATAACAACATTAACACTTCTATTTTAACACATAGTTGATATATACATATATCATACCCGGTATATGTATAGCTATGTAATACGGCACCACCTGAATGAGCAGAATGAGTCTTCGACATGGCCAAAACCGCAGTCTTCGTCGTGGCCAAGGTTCACAGAGCTTAGCCATGCATCGACAGCAGCATAGATGTAAAGATGCAAGTGAAGCGAAGTGCCTCGAGTTGTAGAGGTGTGTACCAGGCAGCCTCCAGTTCTCAATTCGATAGACAGGGTGTCCCGTTTCACCTGAAGCTAGATATACACCAGCAGGTTTTGGGCCTCTTTTGCGAACTTGTTGGATTCCTCATCCATTGCGAGGGCCACCCTGTTAGATCTTACATGCCAATCCTCGAATGCCAGAAGTGCCCGTTCGACGAATGGCTGTGGCGAGCGTTCGGTGCTCGCACGGAATGGCCGAGCCCCAAAAAAGATTGACCGCTGAAATCGCTGAAACGGCCGGGGACCCGAGCGCGAACCCGTTGCAGACGATGAGTGAGAGGACAAATCACCGCAAGAAGTCGCAAGGTCGGTCCAGCTACATGTCGCTTGCAGCCAAGCAGCTGCACCTAGGCCGATGATCACTTTCCAGTTTTTTTTCTTAACACCTTTGGGGCCAGTAAAGCATGACATTCTGGTATTCTTGTCATCGTCATACTCATGGACTCATTTTTAACAGTACCCTGGGAAGGGCAGTATCCATAATACAATGAATAGTTCTATAATGTTCTATACATATGCATCAATATACACCTGCCATAACGATGACATTTCGTTTCAGCGCCCTTCGTGTCAGATGAGCTCGGAAGTGTGGATCTTCGAGAATGGTGTCCAGGTCTTTCAGCAGCCGGGGATCTCAGCGTGCCGTCAGGCTCCAGCGGCGCAAGAAAGATGGAGCCGAGAATGCAGGGCCAAAGAGCGATGGCCTCCAACCTACTATGGCATGCTATGGCTGCAGATACCCCCGCTACTCCCAGAGCTCCACCAAATTTATTCCATTGTAGTTGTGCGGGCACCACGGAGTGTAGAAGCAGCGGTGCTCCTTCCAGCATGCATAATTCTCTTTGTCAAGGTTCAAGCGATCCTTTTTGCAGCTGCTGGTGCATGCCTCCTGCTGCTGCTGCAGTCAACAAGGAAGCGGGCCAAGCACCAAGAGACTCCGACGACAGAGGCTCTAGATGATTTAGATGCACCAAAGAAGGTGGCAAGCTATGTCAGGCGCACACACACACACATGGGAATCACCGAAAAACATCCTTTGACACAATCCATCTCTGCCTATGAACGTCCTTTTGCTGTGATCCATTGCTGCTGAGAAGTAAAGAAAGAGCCAGCATCCAGATACTAGCTCACTAGCAAAATCTCCTCCCACAACAGCAGAAGAGTGTCATTGTGGCACTTTGGAAGCATCGAACAAAGCATTTTTGGTTTGTGACACCCTATGACCCAGGTCTGGCCAGCCTCCAAAGCTGAGCCATTACTGCAGGTCGGCCGTGAACGGAAGAAGCAAAACACCGACACAACTAAAGGCATACATAGCCTATAGATGCAGCCTTTGGCTATCTTAAGTTGATCCTGGTGCAATTTATAGCAATTCCACCCTACTGTATTTATATAGCCTAGCCTTTGGCATCTTAGAGCCCTTTGGACCGAAAACCCTACCTACTCGCCTGACTCGCCTGACTTCAGCGCCGCCCTCGACGCACGGGCCGCGAAACTCGCCGAGGCGGTGTAAGAGACGGGAGCAAAGCCTCTGAGCGTTTGGTTTGCCAAATGTGGGGTGCTTTCAGAGTGCTTTCATTGATTCATCCAGGGCAGCACGTCGCTATTGGTCGTCGCAGCTGTTCCACGGTCGTGGGAAATTATGGGTTGGGAACTACAGCGCCCGGATTCAGCGAAATGGACACTGGGAAGATCTGGGAAGTGTAAGCACTGCAATGGTGATGCACGTAACTACCAATAATTATATTTATGATTAGAATAGGAGATTCCCATGGCGGCCTTCACAACTGGATTGCATGCCACTTCTATTTGATCATGAGAAATCACAAGGCGAATGAAGAGAGAAGTGAATCACATTTGCCTCGGGAGTCTTACCTCGGAGTGCAAGACCTATGGGAGAGGGAGATCATGTGTAACACCGATTTGAACGAACAGGGCAGACAGAGGGTTTGCAGCAGATAAGTTTGCAGCAGAGGGCTCTGAGTGAAGGAGAAGGGTGTGTAGTGCACATTGAAAGTACCCGAAGAGGCTTTTAGCTTTGGCGCCGTAGGGTCGCCGTAGGGCGTGGCCTCCGCCACGCAGATATTTTCTAAGATTACTTGGGTTGCGTGGCAAATAGCTGGAGTCCGAGACTGATCGTTACTTGCCACGTCCATTGAACAAGTTGGGTCAAAGACGTTTTCAATTTTTTGCACATCCTTCACAATGCATATCAAACACTGCATATCACTGCATAGAGCCATCAAATAGTTGCTTACTTGCTTTGGCCCTTGAGCAATTCTTCCAGCCGGAACCCGAGGCATGTCACCCAGGGCATTTTCGTTTGGGAGCATCCAATGTGTTGGTAAAGGTGTCATGGGTGACATGAAGATGGGCGGCTGCAGGTTGAGGTGGTACATGTGTGGCGCTGTATCATTGGGCTGAAGGTTCCGGAAGGCACGTGGGGGCCGCTTATGGGCCGACGGTCGGACGACCGTGCCTTGCCCCGAGCTTTGGACGGGGAGGATACAGCCGCACTGTTCCTGCTTTAAGTGCCAGACTTGGCAGATCTCTTGGGCTTGAGGGCCAAATTCTGACCTCGCCTAGTGAGATGGAAAGACAAAAGACGTGCCGGCATCCCCTCTATGCTGATGATGTGGCACATGGCGAAGCCATGGATTTTTGTGGCGAAATGGGGTGCCGATTCACGCCAATGGTGAACATGGCTTGTGGGACTTCTAAGATGTGTGTGAACTGATCAGGTGCCATCGCGTGAGACTGGACAAGGCCGCATCAAATGGAATCCTTAAAGTGGCCTTCGGCTCAAGAGCCCACACATATCAAGACCGACTAGATCGTGAGGTGCTGGTCAGTCCCCAGGCCTGTGATTGGTTCAGGATTACATATTCATCGCATTTTGCAGTAACATTATTCTCAGAAGCACAAGAAGCCATCCTGGACAAGAAGAAACAAAGGCATACAAAGGCATGTTTTTGTCACTGAACATCACAGAAGTGGGCACCCAGAGAAAGTAGGTGACCTCCAACTCTGAGCATCTCAAAATATCTCAAACACCCCTGCTGCTTCGGTTAGAAGCCACGCTCCCAGAGCCTCCACCGGCGATGGAGCCATGGAGCCCCTCGCCGGTGCTTCGAGGCGCCCGGAGCGCGCCGCGCGGCTTTTCCCGCGCGGCGGCGCCACGGGCGCCACGCGCCAGTGGGGAGGCTCAGGAGTTGAGGATCATTTGAAGAGTTGGAGAGTTGAGAACGGATCTGAGACTGAAGTTCTATGTTCTCAACACCTCGAGAAGTTGAAGTTGAGACACTCTACACATCTCTAACACTCGGATTTTTTTGTTTGTCTAGTTGCTTGCAAGAACAAGCAAGCAATGAGCAAACAATTGGACTCACGCAGAACGTGCAGTTTTGGTGAAGAGTCCGAGGAAAGGACGAATCTTTGGATTTTTTTGATCTCCCTGGTGTCAATGAGCAGTGATTCTGCAGTTTCTGCTAATGCATTCCCCTACCAAAGGTTTTGGCTGAGTCGCACGGCTTCAGAAGATGCCGAGGTCGCTTCGGGCGAGAATTTCATGCAACGCCCGTGTTGTCTGGACTTCTTGCTCGCATGTTGCAAAGGCCGAAACTGCCGCAGTGTCCCGGAAACATGGGCGCTCACGAGTTTTTAGAGGTTTCCTTCAGACTTGGGTGTGCATTGAAATAATATTGATTCCATCAATAATTCCCTGGAATAAGGGAAATAGACCAGTCTACCCAGCCAGGGCCAGGGTGTCTCCCTCTTACAATACAATACAATACACACCAGGTCGTTGGTCGTCGAAGAAGCCGAGTCTCGGCCTTGCCGAGTCTCGAAGGACATGGCGCACAACGTTCTCCGCTTTCTCCGCCACCAAGACGGAGGAAGCGCCACAAACGCAGCGCCTCGGTCACTGGAGCTAGTGCATCATTTTGCCAAAGAGGACCAAATGAATTATTGGTGATTGGAGGTGAAAGCTGCTTGTGCGTCCTTGGGATGGGTCGGGGTGAACTATATATATATAGTTACATATATAGTTATATATAGTTATATATAATTTATATATAAGTTATCATTTACATATTTTATATACATTGTAATGTATTATTGTAATACCTTGTATACATTTGGAAACATGGGGCAAGGAGCACCTGCCCCCAAACCCATCTGCCGATCCTTCTACCGTCCATGGCCTCGAGCTGGATGTGCCTGCGGTAGTGGCAATGATATGGATCCTTTGGTGAGACCTTTCACACTCGGATATGTCATGTTGGGTACGACGTGTTATTTTGTTTTATTTTTAATTTTTTGTAAAGGTCCTGGAGACTGAGCCCGAGATGACATTTGTAACTCATTGACCCATTCTTGTTTTGCTTTGAGATTCATCACATTCTTGGACAGTTGGGTGGTCACTGTCATCACCTGGAACATGTCATCAATCTTAGCAAGTCCCTCGAAAGCAGCTCACTCCGCGGGATGACGTTACTCGTGACATAATGGTGTGACTGGGCGAGCGAGGTCACAGCTCGCACAAAGCTTGGACGAGCTTCAGAGGAGCGGAAGAACGACACGGCCGTCGTTACCGTCAGAGCAGTGACCCCGTCGATTCAAAAGTGAGAACGCAAGCTACCAGACTGATGCTGACTGTGACCAATTTGTGTGTGTGAGGAGGACCGACTTGGTCTTGGCCCAGTCAGGCAGCTGCTGTGTGTGGCGAGTTGGTTGGTTGGTTGGTTGGTTTGAACCAATGACTTATTGACCAATCAATGGTTTGCCCTCAACATATAGATTCAGATGAAGAAACGAATGGTCATAAGCCTACATGAGGATCAAAAGCAGATGGTTGTTTCCTCCAAAAAGCCGTCAACCTCAGATGCGTGCTTGTTTCTACTTCCTTTGTTTCTTTTCGACACCTGGGACAGCCTGAGCAATTTGTAAGATCAGAGTCTGTGCACTTGCACATCCACAATCGAAAGGACACAGCGACAATCATAGAGATTTGGATGACCAAACTATGCACCAACCATTGGTTGGGGTCGTTTCTCATCGTGTCTCACATGTTGCTACTTCAAACGTGGAAGGCTTTGGGACTGAAGACTTCGAGGTGTGGCATCGGCCTGTGAAAAGAACGATCAGAAAAGGGCGAAAAAGCGAACCGAGGGAAATTGCTTTGGCTCCCACTAGCGATGGCCTCCAACCAAATGGCTTTGGCTCAGAAAGCGAACAATTCGGGAATAGTCCCCTCGAACACTTCCACGTGTTGTTGGTGGAAGGGCTTTGAGTCTCGACTGGTAGGGGTTGACCGAACATCTGGGCTGAGAATGGCCGTTCGGCACTCGTGAAGTTCTCATATGCTTCTGCGGTTGAACATGGGAATCTGGGGGAGAACTTCTCACCTTGAGATACTGGCTCAGTTTACCAAGGTAATGTTGAAAGACTTGATCAGATATCCATTATATAAATGGGCCTGAGTTGAATCGAGGGAGGCTTGCAGCCAATTTGTGAATCGTTTATCCTCCCTTCTACGAACGCTTTGGTGGAAGCAAGACAGCTTACATCAAAGGCTTGCACAAATCCAGACACAAAAACACGGGTCACAACAGTCACAAAGGACACAAACAATGAGGTGCCGTTCTCTTTGCAAGCGTTCCATCTGCCATGCATGTGACCTCCCACGTCCGATGACGCCTGAGGCGGAGGCCAAAGAGATCCGCGAGGAAGCTGCGAAGCCTGACTTGTGGAATGATGCTGCGGGTGCGCTTGGCCCTTAAGACTGCACCCGGTGCAACCAGCCGAACTGGTAGGGAGGGGTCGATTTGTGGACAGATGTAGAAATGCAGAAAGCATGACAAAGTTTCGTCGGCTGACTAGAACAACCAGGCAAAGCCTTTCCTAGACTTCTAGATGCGCATTTCGTGGATTTCGGGCCCAAGAGTTGTCTTGCGCCTGAGGCAGGCTGTTATAGCCAAGCTTCAGCGCCATGTCCCCAGTTGCAACCGTCCAGAGGGGAACTAGTTTGGCCTGGATCTGGCTGGATGAGGCCGAGGCCTGACCTGTACGAATGCCAAACTGGTCCAACCCATTGAATCAAGATCACAAGTGCGGGTGGTCAGTGGTTCCTTGATTCCCACATCTCAGGTGTACCGCTGGTCCTTCAGTCTTCCGCAGTAGCTTTGAAGGGCTAGCAAGCTTGTGCAAATAGATGGAAACAGGGCCTTTGGCTTGCTTCCCTGATGGATGTCGTTTTTTTCATACAAGTATAGCGTGGACAAGGGCCTAGATGTTGTTTCATTCAGTGATATTTCGTGGAAGTACCCAGCGAGCTGGCTTCATTTCTTGGCAGAAGAGATCAAACAGATCTGATCTAAGCAGCATCCAATGACCGTTCATTGTCATCAATTACCACTAGGATTGGAGCTTTTGGACAGTTTGGTTTTCGTTGGACCAAACTTCAACCCTGCACTGGTTGGGCGCCTGCCAGTGGAGTAGGTGCAGCATGGCAGCATGATGGCGACATCTACTGTTGACTGGTAAGTCATGAAGCAAGGAGAGAGATTACTCAAAAACCACCTAACACAGACCTCCAATGATAACCATCAATCACCTTTTGCTCCCTTCCTGCATTGGCTGGCTGAACCGAGAGACCGGCTCGACCCAGATCCTTCGCCAGGTCTGGAGGCTGTGGAGAAACGCGCTGCGGCCTACCGGAGCATTGCTGAGGAGGTGCAGTGGAACAAGCGAAGCAAGCTCACCGGGGTGATGGATGGGTTCCTCCGAAGGACTAACAGTTAATCTGCAATGAACTTGGAAAACATTATCAAGCTGCAAGCTATGTCAAACTCATCGTTTGCTCCTTGGAAGAGTGAACGTGATGAGGTTTAGTCAGTCTGACAGGTTTTGTAGATTTGCTCATTGTTGGTGCATCGAAGTGTAGTAGGCATTGCTTTGGGATCTTCAGCAGAGGTGTTGTGCAGACTAAGGGTGACTAGGGCATACAGTACCGTTCTATAACATCAAGACATGCACCGAAAAGCTCGCAGACATCTACCTCTAGGGTTAGAGTCGCCACCCTGGAGCCCTCCAAAACCCAGGTGCAAACAGCCTTGGAGTCGCCACCTGAGCAAAGCCTGGTGGATGACCGGCGCCCTACGCGCCACGTCCTGAGGTTGGCCGAGGAAGCTGAGAATGCGGGTGACCTCGATGAGTCTGCCATGCTGCGGGATGAGGCGGATGAGGTTCTTCCGTCCACGTGAGACAGCCTGGTGCAACGACATCTCGGGTCCAAAATTCAAACAAGTTGTTTCAGGACTTAGCCCTCGATCAAGTCATCAACCAGAATGAACCAGCAACGGTTTGCCCAACAGCTCCGTGCCGCCACGTTCCTCCCGCTCTTCGGAGGCCTCGATGGCCTTGCAGCGATGGGACTCCGAGGTCTCCCAAGCGGAGGCGGTGCGTCGTTCGGCGGTGTGGATTGGACATAACCGGTCCGTCGTTTAGGTGGGAACGGGCGTTCGTTTTTTGTTTGGACGAAGGAAGGACCACCCCCCTAAAAGGTTCTTGAAGGTAACTCAAGGTTCCCCAGAAGGAATATGTGCCAAGCTGGATCCCGAGTTGGACAGAAGATGTGCACCGAATATCACCGAATTATGTGAATATATAGGTGAACATATGTGAACATGCTCGGGGACTTAATATGACTTAATTGTTTTGCTCAAGATTCGTGGACCTCAGAGGTCGATCCTAAGGTCAACCCTCAGAGGTGGATCCTATGCCCTTCCCGGCGAGACTGGTTTTTCGATGTCATCGAGTGGGAAAGAAATGGAAAACAGTTGAAAAAGGGACTTCGTGTCGTAGGTAGAATCTGCAGAACTGATGAAAGGGATCCCTGAAAAGAACTCAAAGACTGCAACACACTGATAGGAATTATATGGGCTTATCATGACTTATCAACTACCGATCGCCGATACCTCTTCGATTTTGTCCCTGCTCACATCACAAATCACTGAACTTCTCCTTGCCATGGTGCACGATCATGAACGACAGTCGGCCGGTAGGTGCCTGGTAGGCCGGCATGTTCAAGCACATCGATGCACATCGTTTGCCACAATCCTGTTCTTCTGAAACTCAAGGTCTGCGATCCCCGTGCCCACAACCCCATTTTTAACATGGTGTGCTTCGCGATTTCACCGTTTGAATGAAGCTGCCTACCTGGATCCTTCCCCGGAAGCCAGGTGGAGATGATGATGGGTGGGCACTATGATGGCAACAGTTGCCAGCATGCAGCTGAGATGAGATTCAAGACTTATGCTCACATCGTGGAGTGAAATGACATCTTCGTTGCAGGATTGTCCTCGGGCTGTGCGCGAGCATGTAAGTTACACACCTTGGCCATGATGTTTCCAAGTTGGCCATCGCTACTACTTGTAGGACTAGGGGGAGGCCATCGCTATTCGAAACCAAAGAAGAGAGACATCGCCATGCAGTGCACGTTGAGCGACCACCGGCTAACCACCTGACGGGCGCTTCATCTTGAGGATCAACATCTTTGCTGGCGCTGGTGGCGATGAAGCATGTGATTGGGTTTGCATGCTGGAGCTTCTGCCTCGGCATGCCTCAGCTGTCAGATGTATGCATGGTATATCATGGTATGCTATGCTATGCGCATGGTATATTATGGTATGCATGATGTTTGCGTCGCATGGAGTCCATCTCAGGCGCATGTACACGAACTATGCTCAGCAAAAAGGCTGGTCAGCCAAACGCGTGGGCTTCACTGAAGGCGGGGGCTGGGGGGGAAGGAAGGACGGCGACGGCGAAGGAAGGTGCGAAAACGTGGGCATGAAACATCATGATCATCATGAAACGCGTTCCTCACCAAACGGTTTGCTGTGATTTTTAGGGAGTTGGCTCAGAGAAGGTTACCCTCATTGAACCTCCAGTCAAGCGCCATCGACTTTGGAGCATGAGGGTTTCGAACGATTCTCTGGATGTGAAGAGGCCACGTCCGTGGCAGAGTGCCATCCTGCCCGTGGCCACAGGTGACAACATTGGCCTCAAGAGTCCCGACCTCAAGATCCGGGCACCGGACCGGGCAGGGCTGTTCACGACGGTGGGACGGTGGGATGGTGGGACGGACGCAGAGCACGGTGGGACGGTGGCACGGTGGGCGGTCCAAACCGGGAGCCCTGAGATTGACGTCTTATTCTGTTCACCAGGGTCCCCTGGTTTTGACCAATCTGGCTGATGGCGGTGTAGATCTTTGCAGACATGATTCACAATGGAGCGTACTGAGCTGGCAAAAGCCGCTAGTCGCTAGTCATCTTCTGGAAGATCTTGGCTTTTGGCTTCCGGGGTCGAAGAATGAGGGTATTTGATGGTATTTGTTGCTTGGATGGTGACTGTCCCTGGTTTGCAGTTTGCAAGTCAATTGGACCGAACGCGAGTGTGATGGCGTTGGAAGATTTGTGGAAAGGTGACCGCGTACCAGGCGTGTTACTCATGGGGTGTGACCTCTAACCATTCCAGGCGTGGACATGGAAGTTACAGGCACGGCAGGGTACAAAAGCTGCAGTGCTTGTCGAATAAAATCTATATATATATATAGAAAAATGATGTAAAGTGCTAGTTTTGAAATGTTTTGAATGCTTGCCCACCTTGCCAAGACACAGTTTGATTTGAAGTAAGACACTTTGAACCATTGAGAGTAGCAAACAGCAATCATGAGTCGTTGTTGGTTTTTGTTGAGCGCTGTTTGGCCATTGGCGTTTATTGCCATCGTTGATCTGGGGATATTTGAGGTTTTTCCAAACAGAACCCTCCAGTCCACTGGGAGATTCGTGGGGCCTCCTCAGCTTGGCGCTGGTCGAAAAAGCACGGAAGGTGGATGGGTTCGGCATGATGTTTGGATCCATATTAAATATGTTAATGATGTTTGATCCACCCTAGATCTTCATTTCTGGAGGAGACTACGCTTTTGGCATGATGCGGCGAGAGACTGGCACCCACAGGCGAGGTCGAAGTAGATGCTTTTCGGTTCCGGGGACTCACTCCACAGTGAGTTTCTTTGGGAAAAGCTGGAAGAGCAGAATCCAAGTAACCTAAAAAACCGTCGAGTTTCTCCTCGTGATGGTGAAAAAACGTGAAAAAGCACTGATCTCTTCCACACCAACTTGCGAATCGTCCGACGATCCTGCCCTCAAAGCCCTTCCGGGAACTGATCGGCCCCGTCAATCTCAGTGTTACTAGTAGCAAGAATGCTCCTAGTAGCGATGCCAGCAGCCCCTAATAGCGTCCTTGCTCCTAGTAGTAAGGCCAGGAGCCCCTAGTAGCTTCTTGCTACTAGTAGTAATGCCCCGTCTCTCCAGGCTGGTGCGGATTTGGAATGGCAGACGTCAGACCACCTTCGCGGGAGTGGAGGTAAGACCGATGGCCCGCTCCGTCGTTGATGGCGGATTTCTTATGGCGGAACCTGATCGAGTGACGGAAGTGAAGTTCGTGAAGATCAGATGAAGATATTGAAGTTGTTGGACTTTACTGACTTGTAGGGAGTGAAGAGCGTGAAGTTTCGCCCCCCCCCGTCAGAGATTCCCTTTGGATCCAGCCACCCGAAAACGAGTCGCACCAGTCAGACATCTTTCCGACTTCGTTCCTAAGGGTCCTAAGGGTGTGGAGACATGGACTACACAAACTTTTGTCCAAGCAATGCAAAGGTATATTTCTCGCAGAACTATCAGCGATATCATCCGTATGATTTGAAAGCCTTGGTTCTTGAACGCTTTGGTTCACCCATTATATATATATATAATACTTTCTGTCTTGTGAAGGCAGGCAGTGTCTTTCGATGTCTTTTGTTCCGGGCCATTTTGATGAGTGGCCGTGGCATGCAGCATAAGGCATAAGGATCATAAGGCGAGTGATTCCATAACGACAAACCCTTCCACTGTGGGTTTCATCGTTTCATTCGCCCTGGAGATCCAAAGTTTTGCCACAGATCAGATGACCTCAGCAAGGGTGTTTTGAAACATGAAGAAACAGCTCCTTGTTTCACCTGGTGCGGTACTCTGCTCCCACTCGACCCAGTGCCGGTAGACTGACCCGCTACCGTTGACGCTTTCCACCGACGCCGCGCGCGCCTCAGGTGGTACCACTCTTGCCCGACGACGCGGTCGACGCGCTGGAAATCGATCCCAAGGAGCTCACGTGATCTCTGCATGTTGGTCGTCCCACTCTTGGAGTCACATGCGGATATATAATCCTGGTCACCTTTTGGCTTATAGAATGGGAGGGGTCAACCCCTCCCATAAAACGATTTATAGATACCAGGGGATAGGAGAATAGGAGGGGTGGGCCCTCCCATTTTTTTGAGAAAACGGGCTTGTTGCAGTGTGTGTACAAGTTTTTTTTGTACTTTTTGTCAGTTGATGTGACCTGCACTCATCCGATCCGTAGCCGTTTGATCATTAATTAGATCAAGATGAGCGCTCCTGCTGGATTACCGATTACCGGGTCCATACAATGTCAGAAGATGTCCTGCCAAAATGGTAAGATGCAGCCCCCGGTATTCAATGAGAAGCATGAGTGTTGGGAAGCACATTTGGTGTATTTCAGTAATTTTACTTGTGGGTTGCCCTTTGGGTCAATAACTTCACAGCTTTGGGACCTGGCAGGATCTGGGAAGCCTATAGGCCACCTTTTCTCTAAAACCTGGCAGTCCCCACACCTCATCTCTATAAAATGGCATGCCTTAACCCTCTTGCCACTGTATAAACAGGTCTGCTTGTAGACCTGTTGTGGAAATATGTCTACTGCCCGCAGGCTGAACATTGCCAGTGGCCAACATAGAGTTTGCGTGTTAATGTCACAGCATTGAGGCCCAGTCCAGCAGACTTGGCAGATCCCCGTAGGGCCTGGCAGCCCCCCAGCCCAAAAAAGTGGCCAACAATGATTCGGTATCTACTGTGTATAAACAGATCTATTTGTGGGCTGCCTTTTGGATCAAGAAAATAACTTCAAAGCATTGGTGCCCAGCTCAGCAGACCTGGCAGGATCTGGAAAGCAAACCTTTTCTCTATAAAATGGCATGCCTTGACCTCCGCACCACTGTATAGAAACGTTTGCCTGTAGACTTGTTGTGAAAATTTTCCTAGGGCCCACAGCAGCATTTTTTTTTTGGCAGGGTGAACATTTTATGGCAGGGAGAGCCTTTGTGGCAGTCCAGCTGGGGTGCGATGGGAAACTGCAGTTGCGCTTGGGTAGCCTGCAGGCCCTGATTGGAATAGCTTCCAACCCACAAAAGAACAATCACCTGAGTAGCGCAGAAAAGTGAAGACAAAAAAGGATCCAATTTTGTACACATTTCGGAGACGCACAAAATAACAGAAAAATGACATGGAACAAGATAAATCAAGCTTCAAAGACTCAAGAAAATTATAGCGCCCAGAAATCTTTTTTAATTAGAAAGCATGAAGCCTCAGAAGTGATTGAAATTCAATGAAAACCATAGCCAAACAATAGAAAAATGACCTGCAGACTACTCATTTTATATAAACTCACTTGAGGTAGATTTTTCAATTTATACACGTGTGAGGGGTTGGGTCCCCCATTTTATTTTTATAGAATGGGTAGAAGGACCCCACCTGGTGAAAGGTATGCGGGATGATACATATATATATATATATAGATATATATACTCAATAATATATACAAATATATTATATACATTTGTTCAATATTGTCTATTCATTTTTTTTGGGGGGTTGCTATTTGATGCCCGGGGGTGTGTCTCAGTTGGGGATTTGGGAAGTTCAGACCAGTAGATTGACTGGCAATCCATTCATTTTGAGACAGGCGCACATGTAGACAATGTTTTGGACTGGTTTGCAGATGATAGAGTGGTTGAGCTTGCAACTTGCAACTGTGAAGTTCCTCTACTCGCTCAAAAATAGTCACAACTCGACCAAACACAGTTCTTTTTCATCTGGCTTCGTCGCGCAAGTGGAAGCGATGCAGTTGTAGCGCGTTTTCGACCACGCCAGGTGGCACACCTTTCGATCAGGTGGCAAGGGTGGCCAGAATGTGAACAAAGTTGAGACAGGCCGGGAGGGTGACAGATGTGACAGGTACACTTTGCGGCGCGAGCCGAAACGTGCCATATTGCATCAATTGTTTACTTTTGGGGTGGCCGAACCGCATTTGACTGTTTGAACTTCCTGGCTCAAGGAATATCAAGGAACTCCTCGGATTCCAATTGCTATACTTGATTGAAGCCTCCTTTGCTTCTTCCACCAAGCCTAAATGAGGCTTTGTGGAACAGTGAACTTTTTCAACATTGAGAAAGGCTATGGCTTCATAAAGCAGGCCAGCGGGGAGGACATTTTTGTCTATTGCGCAGCCATCATTGGAGGTGACAAGCTGGCGCGAAATGATCATGTCGAATACGAGGTTGCATATGACAAAGGAATTGGTAAGCGCCAGGCCGTTTGTGGCCGCTTAACAGATCCGTCCATGAAGGCTTCATTTGACCCAGCTCCCGAGCCGCAGGAATCGAAAGTCAATACAATCGAGATGGATGACATGTGGCAAATGGAGGTGCTCGATGAGAGCGAAGACGAGGCCTTTGAGGCCAGTGACCAAAGCTCTGAGCTCGAGCAAGAAGATGAAGCAGAAGAAGCCACGGTATCCCCTGAGAACAGGAAGATGGTGTCGCTATCAGAGGTGTTTCTCACCCACAACGCCATATCCTGCAGATTCAGAACGGGCAGATTGTTTGATGAGGTGATTGAGGACATTTGCTCGAGCGAGATGGCTTTTGATGACTTCCCGCCCATTGTTTGCACCCGGTGGAGCCAAAAGTGGTCATCAAAAACCGGCGCTTGTTCATAGCGCGGACCTTGGAGCGAATGCAAAAGCTGAAGCTGATCTCGATTGTTGAGATTCCATTTGACCACGCTTCTTTGCAGCAAGGCTGTGACGGAGTAGCTTCCAAATGGAATCGCCCACACTCAACAACCAATGAAAGCCGGTATGTGAAGGTGAAAAGCTCATTCTGGAGCTATCAGAGTGAGAATATGCTTCACAAACTGCCGAGAAGACAAAGGGGAGGTGATGAAGCCATCATGAAGCCCGTTCTTTTGTCTCAGAAGGCAATGGCAGGGCGAGATTTGGGGGTGAAGCAAAGTGCCAAGCAAGTGAAGTGGCACTTGCAAGAAAGTCTGCCAACAACGATCATGGAGAAACTCGGTACGCGGTACGGAATCTCATACGAGGTTTCCATCCACCCGCAGGACCCCAGAGTTGGGGCAATCAAGCTAATTCCGCGAGGGAATTGCCCGCATGAGTACAAAATAGGCATCTCGCTGTTCAAAGAGGCTGTCGCACGAAGGTACCAGTTGAAAAGCGCCAGTACTGCTAGTTGTGTTTAGGCCTGGCAGGCACTGGGTGCACACTCCATCACTGAATCTCACGGGCATGCGTATCCGCCCACCGCGCAAACACCAACGCTGTACTGCCGCCATCTGGATCATTGTGGTGATGGCGTCAAAAAGACAAGTCTTGCCTGCTGCATCCTCATGCTTGCTTGTGTTTGATTACGGTGATGGCGTCGAGAGAAAGACGATATGGAGATTGAATGCTTCGGCACCACTTACACCGAAGGATCAGCGCGAAGCAGACAAACAAAAGTCCCTCGCCAAGAAGCGAGGCTAAGACAAGCGGAAACATTCGCAAAGTGCCATCGGCGGTTCGTTTCACTCTGAGACAGCGACAGCGATCATGGTTGCAACAGGTGCCTTTTTGCGGGTAGGGCTTGGATTGTTTGTTATTGAGGAAGTCACGAGACATGTGATACCAGACGGCTATAATACAACCACCACGTGACCATTGATTGGTTTGCCACAAGATACGAAATCAGGCTTTTGGGTTGTGGGTTTGCCTGAGCCTGAAAGTGGGAGACTGTTTTCAAAAACTGAAGCAGCCTGTCAAACTCTGAGGGACATTTCCGCCGTTGAAGTACCACACAGTTTCCCTGTTTCTTTTTTTGCTTCGCTCAGAGCATCCAGGAACCAGGTAAGGGCAAACATGTGGTCAATACTCAGCACACTCAGCACTTGATGGACATGATAAATGTCCAAGTACTGTGTGTCCTATTTGTGGCTTGGAGTCTGGATCTCCATTTTCAATTGAATCTTGAACAGCCTGCAGGCGTGCGAGTCACCCACGAGCCGCAAGCTACTCAGTGGACGTACACGAAGGGTTTCTTGCCCTTGTGCTGGATGAAGTGTAGCACTCAAGCTCAGTCGCACCGTCGAGCAGAGCTGTAAAACAAAAACTGGGACTTTGTGGCGCAAAAACTGGCACATTGCTTTGTTAGAGTCCACTCGTCGACGGCTCAAGCACCTCTGAGAGCCCAGATGCTTGAGTTCACCGCGTTTGGAGCACCGTGCTTTGACGTTGCCCGAACACGTACCTGAACCACTGAACCACCCTCCGTTCTTTCGCCACCAGAAGCAAAACAAACAAAATAACATAGAATAACCGAATCCACGACCAACTGACGGGTAACAGTCTGTTTTGTGATGGTTTCATGGAAATGTTCATCCCACCAGGCCCCACCAAACCGTTGTTTTCACCGTTTGGCCGTGGTTTTAACGTCTCACCCCCGGTTCCTCATGGCCCGGCGGCCCCTGGGGACGCTGCGCGCCGTGGGCGTGGAGAGCGAGGAGCTGGACTCCATCCTCGGCAGGGAACATGTGGACCTGCTGCGGAGGTCCAAGGCGCTGAGTGGAAAAGACACGGAACAAACGCGGAAGACCTGCGTGGTGTGAAGGGGGGGTGGCAGGCTTCTCATACAGCATGCAACATGCGTAGTTCATGTCCGCGTTCAGTGTTCTTTGCCTACTCTAGACTCTGTGATAGATCGTTGCAATCCAGGGATTTAACGTATAACAAAATTACTATATAGATCTATATAGTATAATGTTGTCGCGCACCGGACTGCAGTGCAAAGTAGTTGTCATGGGATGGACCGTGACGTGCAAAGCACTGAAGACGGATGCCGAGCTTCATAATTACTAATGGCCCTTGCTTGCTGCAAGGAGCGTACCATGCATCTTGCAGATACCTTCTCAGTGTGGGAGTTGTGTGACATTGTCAAAGACAGCGCCTTCTCCACTATCAGCTCCTCCGCCGCTAGCAAGCCCGAGATCCAACCTACCACGCAGACTTCAGAGGAAGTAGCTGAAAGCGAGGTGGATGACGGAGAGATTTTAGAGGACATTCGCACGTTCATGACCCAAGAGGAAAATGAAGAGGAGAATCTTGGCTGTTCGCATCTGCTACGAGGCTTCTGGCAGCCGGATGGTGGGCCAGGCACAGCCTTCAACCCACAGCTACAGCTGGTGACCGGCCCGCTCACACTCCTGCAGGTTGAGCTGCGTGCTCAGGTGGAAGCGAATAACACCTTGGAGTTGTGGCTGCTTGGGGGGACTCGTTGGGGTGAAACGGTCAAGCAGCTGGCTCCCCAGGACGCCGAGGAAGATGAGACGCAGCCAGGTGGAGAGGCGGAGCATCCGAAAGGAGCCGGCCGCTTCTATCGGATCTTAACCTCTGCCCATAGTGTGAGCAAGCACGGTGGACCTTTGCGGGTTCTCTTGGATTGTGAGGTACCAAGAGGGGAGACTCTTACTTTGCTACTAGCACGAGGGAGCTACATGAAAGATTCAGAGAAATCTGCCCAACTTGAAGAAGCTCCGAACTCGCCCTCGCGCCGGCCTTCCGTGCTGCACGCCGAGAGTGGTCGACGCTTGTCCTCCCAGATCTTGCCACCGGACGCCGGTCTCGGCCGCCGTCGGGTGTCGACTCAGGAGTCCCTGACGAAGCTGGACCGCAAGATGTCTGTGTCTCGCGAGGGCGGCGACTCCCCCAGAAGTGGCCGCCGGGCCTCCCAGAGCGGAAAGTCCTCAATCTCACTGGGCCGAAAGTCCTCGGTGTCATTGGGCCGAAAATCCTCGATATCACTTGGGCGTCGGATGTCTCAAACAGGTGAACTGGAAGAACTTGAGTCCGGTGAGAATTCTCCTTCCCGAAGACGTCAGGACAGACTAGGCCAGGTTGTGCTGCCTGCTTTGCCGGTGGTAGTGCAAGACGATGAGGAGCCAGAGATGGTCAAACAGAGTCCCAAAGTGGAAATGGCAACATTGGTGCCAGACTTTCTCGTTCCAGCCCCAAAAGCTGTGGTCCGAGGGTGGTCTGCTGAGGATGACCATTTTGAAGTTCGAATTTGGACCACTTCACCGCTGAAGAAGAGCCCCAAAGCCCTGACGGAACCTCCGAAACCATACGAATTTGACAATTCAGCCTGGCAAGGTCAGGTACAATCATTGAAGCAAACGTTTGAAGACTTAGAGGAAGTTCATGAGGAAAGCCTTTGGCACTTGCGAGCAGACACCGCCTGGCATGCCCGAGTGAGCCTCAATGAAGATTTGGATAAAGTTCAGGCTGAGCTCAGACGCTTACAGCAAACAGATGTGGAACACATTGATTTCTTCAAATACTGCCGATCATATCGGCAGGGAGGCTTCATGCTTTTGGACTGTATCGGGAAGGAGCTTGGCATACGAGAACGAATGGGACCTGGGAAAAAAGGCGTGCTGAGGAGCCGGGCAGTGTTGAGCGTCTCCACATGGTAGTAGACCGTACAGGTGCCCAGAAGAAACTGCAGTTTCAGTGAACAGATGCCGACCTGCACTCTAGAATTTTGGAATCTGTGATATCCCAGACTATCGATGTTTGTATGGAATACTTGCATGCATTTACCCTTCATCACTCTAAATGTAAGTGACTATTCCACACAGGATGGTCTGGGTATTGTGGCAAGCCATGCGATTGGTGGCTCTGGCTGAGGTCCGGCATCGCAGTCAAGTGTACTGCAGAGCGCAGCCAAATTCTTAACAGAAAGAAGGCGAGACATCGATGTGAATGTCAGTTTGCACGCATTTGATTGTAAGATTCCGTGTGACATGTTGTACCGACCAGGGATAAACTTTGGCAACAAAAGCCATCCATAGACATCACAATGTCTTGGAAAGATATGATTGGCTGGTTCCAGAAAGTAAAACTCATCAAAACTCTAGCCGCCCAATCCATCCTGAGCGAGCGCATGTTCAGGCTCTAGCCCAGCTGAAAGCGAAGCTGCTGATGATTCAGGTTCCATGTCATGGGATGTTGGCAACAGCAGTGTGTGTGGATGTAGTTCTTGCATTTCTTCTTCCCCGGCATGGTGGGAGTGAGATCGAAGTGGGCGGAATTTGGGCGAGTGAACCGACACAGGATTTGGTCATATCTTCCATTTGTGAACCTCAATTTTCTATTCCATGATCAGGAGCAACAAAAAGTGAAGGAACTTCAATCTATTCGCGGCGACCTGGTGTCAGCAGAGCTCCTTGGCTGAAGAGTTGACTTTTTGGGGGTTGGTTCGGGTGGATACTGTCGAATACTCTCGATCATGCTACTGTATATATCATGTTGCAGCCAGTGAACTTGTACGTAAGGGTTGACCCTGCCGTAATTTGGATTGACACAATGGCCCGAAGGGCTGGTCGAAAATGAGGACTTTATAGACTAGGGAACATTAAAGGGTCGCTTCTACCGTTAGACAAGTGTCAGCTAGTACTTCCTAAAAGCTAACACCCAAGACATCCCAAGACCATCCAAGACCCATTCAATTCTGGGGAGGATGAATTGCATGAGGAACAGACTGATCAAGATGTGGGCTCTTCCCGTGAGGTGGGGTGCACAGGTGCGCAACTATGTGCTGCAACCCTACACTTTGGTCAAGGAGCTTGTGGAGAGTCTTCAAGCGTACTATAGGGATCTATAGGGGGCACGACCTTTCCTTGCTGCCCCTCCTGTCCTTACCTTCCGAAGACTTCCTTCCTCTCTCCCTCCTTCTCTCAGGGTCCCCTTCAACGGCTTTAAATCCCTCATCAGTTTGTGAAATGCTCGGACTGGTTGCTGGACTGCAAGCAAAATAACCGACCTTCTCGGGTGAACGACTGGGCTCCGGCCATCGGAAACCGGAGAATTCAGCAAAACTTCTCTTGACATGGCAAGAAGAGGCGTATGTCATACATAGGGAGTCTCTGGGTAAGCGAACCTGATGATGTTGACCATTTCTGTTACGTATGGTCAGTCTACCGCATGTTTTGGATGGTGGGGCTTTTGTGTAGTGTTGTGGCCCAAGCATTGGACAAGCAAAGTTGGTTGCACTGAGTCCTTCATCAGTGGAGTCCTTCGCCAGCTTTTAGTGGTTTCTTTGGACGACCCTGACCATATTAGCATTGTAATGACCAGGAGCGCTGTTTGTAGAAAAAATTGGGTAAGCAAGTTATATGACATGGGTGACACAGGGTTTCAATCATACCTTTTCGAAAAAGCGGCCTTTTGACCGCTGCAGGATGTCCGCAGCGGTCATGAACGAGGAGATGCTGACCGAGTCCTCAACGGGGTGGCTCCGGCAATCTTCACTATTTTGGAGTCCAATTACTACTAGTAAGGCACTTGATTCTAATAGCTTTTTGTTACTACTAGTAAGGCACTTGTTACTAGCAGCATCCTTAGATGTAGAGAGGTGCTTTAAAGGATATTTTTAGAGCATGTCTTTCACTTAAAAACTCTTGACTAACATAGAAGTGCACAAAATTGCACCTGGGAAGACACGTTTCCTTGACCAGTCAGCCGAAGTTTAATTGCTTTTGTTTTTTTGTTCCTTGGTTGTGATAGTGCTTGTGTAGTTCGCCAGGATCTGGATTCTCATGTGGATGCCTTGCTGCGCATGGATTCGCAGAAAAAGCCGGACGAAGTTGTTCGACACGTCGCCATAGTAATTAAGTGAAGTGAGAACATACAGCTTTTCAATGGAGGAGTTCAGAGCAACACACCCTTTGTGTGTGTTTTTTGACTCCTAGGTCCTAGTAGCTTCTTGTTCCTAGTAGTAAGGCCAGGAGCCCTTAGTAGCGTCCTTGCTCCTAGTAGCGATGCTCCTAGTAGGCCAGACTCATGTTCCTTCCTTTGTTTCCGTTGGCATCAGCTGCTCCTCTCACGTGATTTTCCTCGTGCAGGCCGGCCACTTGAGGTTTGAACGGACTGGAGGGACTCAGACGGACGACGATGATGGTGATGATGATGATGATGATGATGTGCTGCAGCTGATCAGAGCCAAAACATCCTGTTTTGAGTGCTTCTGTGCTGCAGCTGCTCGGAGAAGCCCATGGTCGAATGACACATATGACAGAACAACTAGTAGTTTGTATTAAATTTACATGACATGCCTTTCCCGTGTGTCAGGCTATGGCTGGGCTGCCCGGGGAGTCAAACGTCTGCCATTGGGTGTCCCCCCAGCAAATTCATGTCCCATTCTCGCAAATCTCCAACGATTCGGAAACTCGACTTTTGAACACACGAAACTCGGACCACCCACTAGTGAGATGACGCCAGACCAGAGGTTCTGTTGCTGCGGCGGGGCAGATGACGCCTCGGCGGTCGCAGAGATCCCCACGCTGCAAGCGATGCCACAACGCGACCCCGTGAGCGAACTGCAACAGGAGACCGGTCTCGTGCGCGGGACGGGGTGGGTTGTTTCCAGTAGTTTTGGAATGGCTCATGTGACATTTACGGAAGATATAGGTAAACTTCATGAATGGATTTGACCCTTCGGCTGGTGCAGACTGAATATTGGATGGAGCAGAACAACTCTTCGGACAAGTATTTCTTGTCATCCTGCTGTCCAAGTCTGTCCGTATACCTTTACACGATTTATTGCCCATGTCAAAAGTGGCAGATGGCGACCTGTAGAGTCGGGCGCTGGGTATAGATGTTTTTTTACTTTGTTTTTTAATAGTCATGCTTTGTGTGATGCGTTAGCCTCTTTATGTGAGGCTTCTGTGAGGATTCCAGGACTATTCATAAAACAATTCAGGGCTATTCCTAAAACTTCCCAGGACTATTCCTAAAAGTGCCAAGGTAAGCACCAGGGAGAAGAGCTAATACTAAGAAAGGCAGGACTATTCATAAGAACAAGCCAGGACTGTTCCTAATCACAAGAGCCAAAGAAAGACCAAAACAGCTGATTTGCTTAGTCTATTTGCTTTTTAGTAGCACTTAAAGAACGGACAAACAGAAACAAAGCAAGAGAGAGAGAGAGAGAGAGAAAGAGAGTGACAGTGATGTATATAGAGAGAGATAGCTAGATAGAGAGAGAGAGAGAGATGGTGAAACAAAGGCAACTCGAAAGCAATCCAGGGACCCCTCAGTCAGGAAGGTTCTTGCTTTCCAGATCAAGGATGTTGCCAAGACCCGCTGCACATTTTTTGCTTTGGTGGACACTGAGCCAAGCACGTCGAAGAACATGTCGAAGTTTGAGAAACTTAGAGGAACGTAACTTACAGTCTACAGTACAACATGCTGCAGTGACATGACCTTCAATCAGTAGCCCTCCTACTGCTACTGTCTGAGCACCTTAGAGAGTCACCATGGCAGCAGGGAGTCCATCGTCCAGCTGCATTGATTCAGAGGTGGCAGGTCTTTGTCAAGACTTGTTGGAGGTGGAGTCAGAGATGCTAGATCAGCATTCAGGCTGAAGGGACCAATGAAAGGAAACCGTTTGTTTTGGTCAAGTCACAGTCTTCGCCTTAGTCACATCTATGGTTCCAGGGCTTGCCTAGCTTGTCATAGGTTCAGGGAGGCCTTAACTCCAGGTAGAGCAGGATACCAGGGCTACATCCAGGATATTCCATTCTGTGGGTCAAACCATGTGGGCACTCACTTCAAAGACATTTCAGTGATTCAACAACAGAATTTTCAGACACAAACATGGGCCATGGGCCAAGGGACATTAGAAATTTATCCAACCCACTCCAAGTGAGGCAAACCCTTCTCCAGTGCACTAGAAATACTCGAGTTCACTTGTCTCACATGGCCTGAGGAGTGATTGCGAGCAAGCCATCTTCACTGGGCCAAGGAGGCCCCAGTATTTGAGGTGGGCAGAGGTGATCGTTGATAAGCTCGGGCTTCGCAATGTGAGTAAGGTGAACGCCCACAACATGGCAAAGAATCTTGGCTAATTAGGCTAATATAGCCTCAAATAGCAATTTGGGCTTCCACTTTTTCACCAAAGACTTCAGCAGTCCCAGTTTCCCACCTCTTGGCTGAAGAATTGTAATTACTCACATGGAACACCCTTCCTTGACCAGCTCATGGATCATGTCCCCACCAATTTCATGCCCTCAGGTATACAGTGGTTGAAGCTTGTGCTGGAGCTGGAACAGCGACTTACTGTATGTGTCTTGCTCAAATTTGGTTGTGGCATACATCACATGTCACACAATTGTAGTATCTGCCACTGCCATTTATCCAGTCAGAACGTGGCATGACTTGATGACTTGACCCCAAAATGATGTTGTGCAACAATACACCAGACGTGCGTGTTGCCAATCTCCAAAAAAAGATTGACAATTTGGCAAACGACTGTACGGTACACAGTACACAGTACACGTCCATAAAACAGTCACACAGTGTCACACTACAATTAATTTTACTTTTTATGTCTTTCTCACTTGCCTGAGCAGAAGACTTCCAGGTAGGTTTTCGTTCAATGTCAAGTGTCCATGACCCAACTGTCAGGTGTTAAAGAAATTGTAGGTCTTGTGCTCATGGATGTCTTCTAGGCTGACTTCAAATGTTTTGTGCCCAGGCAGGAGCTTTCCAACAACCTGACCTTTCAGTGGCGGACTTCATCTTTGTCAGAGAGGTGCCCAATGAAGAGGGAGTGGCTCAAAAAGCACTTCCAGCTGAACGGCACCTCGTCACATTGAATTTGGCCAAATGGTAATAAGCAGTCGGAGTCCATATGGTCAAGTCTAGCAGGATATTCAGGTTCCAGTTCCCTCTGTCCAACCATGCAACTGCTCACATGATTTGGGTGAGAATCATTGTGAGTCAGAGTGGGGTGAGATTACTGTTCAATACATTTTGCAGTTTACAGTTTACCGTGGAGCCGAACTAAGTGGATCACATTTTCGAAGAGATGTTGGGCAACAGTGACACTGGGCCCTGTGATCTACATGGTGGAAAGTCTTGCGCATCTGCATCGAATCAGGAGTGATGGCAAGGTTCTCCAGTGTTGGTGTTCTGTTTTTCTTGAGCCATGGGCTCACCATTTGTCATTTTTTTGGACAGGCGACAGGACTGACTACTGGACTATGAAAACTGTGCTATGTGTCTTGCAGTGACGTCTTGTAACATGGTGAAGTGCTTCTGACCCATTTCTGGCCTTGACCCATGACATACTGTTCAGTATTTTGTCATTGCATTGTAATAGTCAGTACCGTAACATACCGAGTACAGTACACTACACGCACATACGAACATTCTGTTTCTGTTACATTCTTTTTGATCTGTGTCATGTGTCTGGGTGTAAGGAAGTGTGTAGGCTAGAGCTCATAAGGAGGAGGCAGGAGGCATTTGAAAAGTACCCTTCTGTTCATGTGCTGTCAGGATTTCTTCATCTGGGGTCCACCTTGTGGACCCTACACACGCCTCTCTTCAAAACGAGCTGATCCAACCTACAATCCTTGCCGAACTGATGAAGCACAGCCTTTCATCAAGGGCTCATTGCACATTCGTGGCTCAAATGCAATAAGACTGCCATGGTCCATGGTCATGGGCCATGGTTCATTGTCATTGCAAAAATGCAGTGCGAAGTGTGAAGTGAAGATGTGTAAAGTGCTCAAGCTTGTTTTTGTGGCCAGCACTGGCAGCTGAAGGTCTCCTTTTATGCTCCTTCAGAACAAGACTAGGACTGGTCCTGACTAGTTTCCAAAGAAGCAGCTAAGGGCACACGCAGCCAAAGGTGGTCATCATGGAGGAGGTGCCTTGACCTTGTGTTTGTCTCGGGGATGTTGGAGCCAGTAAAACTCCACCTCCACATTTGTTGTAAGAGCTGGCTAACACCGAGATGAATGTGACACTGTGTTTCCAACCCTATTGAGCAAATGATCAACTCACCTCCCGGGAACTACCCACATTGACACCTGACACCACTGCAAATATGAAGACTGCTGATACTGATATGATACCTGTGTCTCTGACACCCTTCATACAACAAGCCAAACCCTGTGCAAGTGTGTCTTGACAGTTCTATCAATCTATGGGGCTTTCAGTTTTTCTTCATATAGCTTCTGAGTTTTGCCAAAGGTTTGGGCAGGATCCTCTGCACTTATCATCTGAGGTCATGGGAATTTTCGACGACTTCCCTGGCCTGCGAAATGATCCGGATTTCCAAGACTACAAGGCTGGGTGGGGTATTCCCAGCTGACATTCAGAAGCCAAAAAGAGTATCAGGCAATGTGCACCACAGCTCACTTACCATTTTCCCTTTGTATTGGCTTTTTGTCGCTGTCCATCTCAATTCAATGAGCTGCTTAACAAATCAAAAACGAGCTTTCTAGTGCATTGCGGCATTGCTTGTCAGCAGTATTCCTTTCCAGATTGAGGTCTGTTTTCGATTGTGAGTGATCGTTTTGGTGTGGTACCAGCAGATGTGGCATTTGTTGCAAAGAAGTACGGCCCAGTATGGCTCGAGTGTATCACCAGACTGGACCAGACTCACACCTCACCAACTCTAAGCTCTTCAGAATCTAAGTAGAAGACAGAGGACTTAGCTAAGCTGATTGCGATACGGTACATTTACAACACCATCATTAAGCTAAGCCGAACTGTTCGTTTGTTAAACAACAGTGACACCACCATCATCATATATCATATAACTTATAACTATAGACTTATTAGACTAACTATAAATTATAATATATATATATTTATATTTATAAATGTATAATTTATATTTTACATAATA